ATATGTGACCTCCTCCCTGGGGGACGGACAACAGAAAAGTGGGTGAAGGGAGATGTCGGACAGGGCAAGATATGACAAAATAATAATTTATGAATTATCAAGGGCTCATGCGGGAGGGGGGAACAGGGAGGGAGGAGAAAAATGAAGACCTAATGCCAGGGGCTTAAGTGGAGAGGAAATGTTTTGAGAATTTTGAGGGCAATGAATGTACAAATGTGCTTTGCACAATTGATGTATGTATGGAGCCCCTAATAAAATGATTAAAAATTTTTTAAAAATTAAAAAGCAGAAGGAGAAAAAAAAAAGATTTGTAGTTTCAGATACCCACGATGGCAGTTCTACTCTGCCCTATAGGGTTACTGTGGGTCAGAATAGACTGGGTGGCAGGAAGTTTGAGTTGTCCTGTATTTTTACCTATTTTCTAAATATCTTTTCATTGTACATTCCAAATGGATGGATTTTATGGGATGAAAAGTTTACCTCAATCTAGCTAAAAAAAGCCATTGAGATATTTGAAGTTAGATACATAGATTCTATTTGAAAATAGATGAAATATTTATGAATGCTGATATTGTTTTATGTCACTGGTGATGCGGTGCTAAATACAAGGTTCCTAATTAAAAGTCTGGCAGTGAGGATCCACCAGAAGTTTCATAAAATAAACACGTGGCAGTCTGCTTCTGTAAAGACTTACAGCCTTAGACACCCTATGAACAGTTCACCTCTGCCTATAGGCTTTGTGTCAGAGTCAACTCAACAACAGTGTGCTTGGTTAATTTGGTTTTTATACAAAGACACTGAGGACAAACATCATCAGGTAGACTCTAAAAGCAACATTTAACTCTATGCATCAGAGAAGAGACACATTTATTGCCAACTGATACAGAAAGGCAAAAATAAAGACATGCGCAAATGATACCAATTTCACACAAATCTTAAAAGTAAGAGTTGAGATATTTAGATCTGGAAATTTTAAATTGAGACCAGAAGTATTAAATTAATAACAAAATGTAGTTTTAATTTAGTAGCTATAATTCACAATAAAACTGACAATAGATGTAATTATATACAAAAAAACCAGGTGTAAACTTTATATGACAGAAACTAAAATATAAAGAAAAATAGATAGACACATTAATAATGGGAGACTTAAAGTTCAAAATCCATGAAGTATATTTTGTAGCTATAAAATGAACTTCCACTCTAATAAAGAAATACATAGACTTTATTTACAAATATATGAAATATGTATGAATACTGATAGCATTTTATGTCACAAATAAGACTTCAAAATGTAACAATATGGAAATGATGTAAACAATATTCTCTGAACTAAAATTGCTAAAATTACCAATGACTAATAAAGTAAAAGGGCTCTTTCACCTGACAACTTAAAGACACTTTTAAATAATTTTTGAGTCAAAAGAAAAATACAAAATAAAATAAGTATGTATGGACTTGCATCAATACAAATGTACATGAATTTGTTATTTTCATCTGTGGAGTTCTTGCACTGGTGGTCCCCTTTTTCTTTATTATTGATGAAAATAATATCAATTGTACTCTCTATATGAACGAAGATTAAAGCAGTACCAGAAGAGAGTTCTTATCCTTAAATATTCATATCAACAAAGTTTTTAAAATAAAAATAAAACATTGGGAAATAATAAAAGACAAGAGAGATTTCTATTGTGAAAGGGATTAACTAGCACAATGAAAATGATCAATATGACACAGAATACTAGAATATATACACATACATTTGTTCTTGGAAAAATATAAGAAACTGCTACTATTTAATCCAGAAAAAATAAAATAAGATAAAGCACAAACAGACCTAGTACAAAATGACAAAGGAAACGACCATTCCCAAGACTTCCTCAAGTGTCACAATAGGGTTTTTTGCAAAATATTTGGAAGGAAATTTTAAAGCCTGGGTGACAACAATTTCTAGAGTGACCATTCATAAAGTAGACCTCAATGGAAATAAACCCGTTATCTAGATTCATGTCCCTAGAAGGAATATGTGGAGAACATTATCAGAGCTACTCCTTTAGAAAAACGCCACACTTACATTGTTTCATAAGTAAGTTGAATAAATCTTCATGTACAAAATGATACCAATGCCATACAAACACATACACATAGCTGAACAAGTAATTCTAAAACAATCCGTTTCAATCTTTAACAAACAGAATGTCCAAAAATAAATTGTTATGGATATGTCACTGAAACATAAAATATTTAAAGGATTAGAAAAACTATGCCTCTGAATGAAGAACTTAAAAATAGTAAAAAGTAATCAGAAAGCAGTAAATCATCAACAATTTTACTATGTACAGTGAAATTTACATATAATAAAAACATAATCAGAAATATTAAGAAATTTACAATATTAGAAAAATTACCATAAACAAATTTATCAGAATGTTAATATTAACAAATTACATACTACAAACTGATGGGGAAAAAGGTTAATTCTAAGGTAGGAAATGAGTAGAAGCATACAATCTATAAAATCAGAGATAAAATGCATCAAACATATAAATCAGTTTTACTTGATTTAAAATACTCTAAAAGGTAAAATTAAACAGAGAGATTCTTTATATTCAGCAGACAATGGTGACATGATTACATGATTTAAAAAATCTATGCTAATGAATTATAAATTGATTATAAATGTATGCATAAAAATTCACCAAATATATCAACTCTTAAATACAGTCTTTCAATTTTTTCTAGTAAGAAGTTGAAAGTTTATCTTACAATAAGAAATGTATGCATAATTATGTGATAAAATACAGCTATATAAGTGAAATATGTATATAGGGAAAATTTGGAAGTCAATAAAAACCAAGAGAATTAGACTTAAGATAGGTAATAGAGAAGGAATAGTTACAATAGGTAATAGGAGAAGTTAGGTGGCCTCTCTGCATTGGCTTTCTCCTTTGAACACAAAAGACTCACGCTAAGATTGACTACATGTGCATGTACATGCTACCTGAAATGTGCCTGCTACGTAGGATGCACTGCATTAGTGCTATTAATTTCTTACACTCTTACTTTTTTAACTGAGCCCTTTCCTCTCAAGACAAATCAACCATTCTACGACAGTGATTTTGAACTTATATGCTCATTCACTGGGTTATAGAATCAATCTAATAGTCAACAATCAGCAGTTCTGAAAGCCAAAAAAGGTAGATGAAGGGAAAGTGCACAGAATTAGTAACCCTTGTTTAAAAGTAATGTTTTCTTTCATTGTGTGTGTGTGTGTGTGTGTGTGTGTATCGGCAATCTTTATTTTGCCTTGCTGGTAGAATTATGAATAAAAATGGGATGACCAATTGACTTAGAAACAACATTCCTGGGAAATGAACAGTTCAAATAGGAAGAGGTGGGAAACCTGGGACCAGACTAATAAAATATTCAATTACAACTAACCAAGTATTTTTTTACTCAATATTTTATACACTTCCAAATTCTTTAGAGAACAATATAAATGTTTTCGATAATCAATTTCTTAATATAATCCAAATTCATCTCAGGTCCTAAATTTTATAGCAATATTTTAATTATATGAAATTTCATGCAGTCTTGAATATATAGTGAGCTGAGTCATAACAAAGTAATACCTTTGCTTATGTTTAAACAGATATCTCAGGACAAAAAAAATAATTCACTCTCAAGTCAGATTTTTATAGCAATTTTTTCAAAGCAATATATATTTACTGAGCATGTACATCATCCCAGTCACTCTATTAGTGCTTAGATTGCATCAGCGAACTAAACAGATTCCCGATCTTATAACACTTTCATTTTCAAAGGTCTTACATTATAGATACACTCTCAAATTCACTACCATTGAACAGAGTCTAACTCTTAGCAACCCTTAGACCAGGGTAGAACTGACCTGTTTCCAAGACTATAACTGTTCATGAGATTAGGAAGCTTCCTCTTCTCCCTTGGAGCAACTGGTGGTTTTGAACTGCTGGCCTTGTAGTTAGCAGCCCAATATATATAACCCACTACACCGCCAGGGATCCTGTTCACAGTATAGATAATGACCTGTTATCATTCTCTCTGAAAAGGCTGAGACCATGATGGTGTTCATTTAACAGAAGTTATTTGTCAGGCACCAAATATCTCTGTAACCTCTGCCAGCATCAGACTTCCTAGCAAAGAGTAGATATTAAAGACCTATGTGTGCAAATCAATGATGAAACAAATTAACATGACTATCAATCAGTGAAACTATTTGTGGATAGATGAGTTAGAATCGACTTAGTGGCAGCAAGTTTAGATTTATTTTTATTTTTCATTTGCTAGGTAGCTGGCCAAGGTACTTATAATAAGCAAAAAAGTTAGAGAAATACTTTTTGTAAATTCAATGCAAGATAAGTGTCATGGCGACTTCTCAAAAATGAGATGACATAAATGTGCTCTAGAATTTCGATAACATAATGAGTAATTTTAAAGCCATTCCATAAACAAGTTCCCAAAATAAACGAGTTTCATCATTCCCAGACTGTGAGTTCTAGGGTAGAGCTGAATGTATTGTCCTATCTTTGAATCTAGGAGTGAAGTTCAAACAAGCTCACAGACACATAATTTAAGGATTAACAGAAATACCCAAGAAATTTTCCATAAGTATCACCACCCAAGTATGTCAGGGGCTTCCTTCCATTCTCTTCCTTTGTTTTGAACCAGTAACACAAGACTTACCATCGCACTCCCTAAAACAGCAACCATCATGCCTCTGCTGCACAGCCCAACACAACCATGACCCTAACGAGTTCACCTAATATGCTTTCCTGTGGCTGTCAGCATTATCTTCTTTGATGCCTTGCTTTGTAATTTTGCTACCCAGCACCCCAGGGAGCCATTACCACAATGATCCTAACATAGAACCTATCTCCCTACAATTAGCAATTATGATTCAAGAGGGAAATGGACCTGAAGATTCTCTTTCCAAATAGATGAACCATGAGATAAACTCAAGGAATTAGTTGGTTTCCTATTTAAGATGCACCAATGAAGTGATACATTAGGAATCTGGAGGCTGTGGAGTCAACAATCAGCAGAAAAGATCCAGGAGCTCTTCTTCCTCCTAAAGCCCCATCCTGCCATCCCTACTTTTTCACCCTTCGGTGGAAGGAAGGTCTGCCTTTCCAGTTTTGAACTCCACCCTCTATGTCAAGAGGAGGAGTGTTGAGAAATTATTGGACAAAAGACTTGTACAGGTGCTTATAAAACCAGCAGAGATGGCAGCAAAGAGAAAATTTGGTGATAGGAAAATAGCAAGGAATAGTCAGGTACAAGGAGGGCCAAAAGAAAGCATTCATCTGGCCGGGGGCACCTGCTTAGCACAAGCACCTGCAGCTGCTGGGTGATCTATCCACCTTGTGCTCAGTCACAAGCAGGGTTAGTCTTCTATCTAAATAAGGAAGTATGGAGGTGAGCGTCAGTGTGTTTGTGATGACAGATGCAAGATGGCAAAGAGTGCAGAACTGAAGATCAGAAAGTTGAGGGATTGTAGCTGGTAGCTGGAGATCCAAAGCAGGCTGGGAGTCTGGAGCAGGCTGGAGTTGTGAAGCAGACCAGAGATGCAAAGCAGGAAGGAGATCTGGAGCAGGCCAGAGGCCTGCAAGAAGGCTGGAGATCTGGGGCAGGCCAGAGATCCAGTGCAGAGCTCCTGTCCCCTCTTGGTTGTGGATACTGAGCTGAGTCACTTTCTGAGGACATCCTCAGCCAATGGCAGCAGGGTGATCGAACTGCCCGCCCCTTAGGGTACAGGAAGGGGTTGGGAGAGCTGATAGCATGGGTAACTATATAACCCCAGTCAAGGGGAGTGAACAACAGAATTGTATATGAAAGATGATAGTGGATGCTATAAGGCAAAAATAAATAAATAAGGTTTCCTGGGGAGGTTGGGTGCAGCATAAAAGGGAGCTGCTATTAAGGAGTGCAACAAGAAAGAAAAGTTCTGAAATTGATTGTGGTAGCAATTCTACGATACATATTGATACAACTGAACTATGAAATGTTATGATGTCTGTAAGGGCTCCCAAAAAATTATTTGAGAAAAAAAAAGAAAGCATTTATCTGTCAATTCCTTCCAAGAGCATATAATTTCTACAATAAAATGTGGACTAGGTTCAATAAGTGCTAAACTCTACCTATATTTCAATACAATAAAAAATAATATACATCAAGAACAGGAGGATGAAACATGTCACCATTTACCAAAGTCAATCTATCTGCCGTTGCTGTGTTGTGGGTTCTTGTTGTTAGGTGCATTAAGTAAACATAGCAGCCCTATGCACAACAAAACAAAACAATGCTCTGTCCTGCCCTTCCTTACAATTGTTCCTGTTCTTGATCCCTTTTTTGCAGCCACTTTCCTCAGGGGCCACCTTCCTTTCTTTCGCTGCCCCTCTCCTTTAGCAAGCAGGACGGTCTTCTTCAGGGTCCCTCCTGACAACCTGTCCAAAGTGAGCATGACAAACTCTCACCCTCCTCACCTCTAAAGAGCATGCTAGCCATACTTCTTCCAAGATAGGTCTGCTGGTCCTTTTAGCAGTCAATGGTGCTTTTTATATTCTTTACCAGCGCCACAATACAAATGCATCATTTTTTTTCAGCCCTACTTATTCAAAATCCAACTTTCACATGCATATGAGGCAATTGAGAATGCCATGGCTTAGGTCAGGCACATAAACCTCAAAGTGAATTCCTGGCTTTTCAATACTCTAAAAAGGGCAATTCCTCTTTTGATCTTTTGACTGCTTCTTCCATGAGAATTGACTGTGGATGCCAGTGAGGAAAAATCTTGAAAACTCAACTTTTTCACGGGATTTTCAGTGGACACCTATATATTTATTATGCTCATTGGTTTTTGGTCTACTGATCCCTTGAGTGTTACATAGTATCCCTCCTTATCTCTTGTTATGACTGGCATCTTGAGATTAATTTTTTCAGATTAGGATTACAAGCCCTGTTTTTTTTTTAATTGCCATTTTCTTGGTATATTTTTCTCCATCCCTTTATTCTCATGGCTATTTTTGTCTTTGAGCTTGAGATATGTTTTTTTGTAGGCAGCAAATTGATGAGTTGTGTTTTCTAAGCACGTCTGCAATGCAAACGAGGAGGGTTGGAGTGGAGACCCAAAGCTCATCTATAGACAATTGGACATCACCTTACAGAAGGGACATAAGGAAAGGATGAATCAGCCAGGGTGAAGTATAGCACCGATGAAACACACAGCATACCTCTAGTTTTTTAATACTTCTTTCTTCCACAATCATGACCCAACTTCTACCTTACAAATCTGGCTAGACCAGAGCATGTACCCTGGTATAGATGAGAGGTCTCAACACATGACATTCAGTACAGATAACCCCCTCAGGAATAGTAATGGGAGCGGTGATTCCATGAGGGTAGGGGGGCAGGTGAGGGGAGAACGGGGAGAAATGTGGAACCTATCACAATGATTATGTATAACACCCCTATACACCAAGAGGGACAAACCACAGAAACATGGGTGAAGGGAGACAGTAGATGGTGTAAGATATGAAAATAATAATAATTTATAATTTATCAAGTATTCATGAGGGTGGGAGGGTGAAAAGATGAGCTTATACCAAGGGCTCAAGTAGAAAGAAAATGCTCTGAAAATGATGACGGCAACATATGCACAAATGTGATTGATAGAATTGATTGTTATGAGAGCTGTAATAAACCTAGTAAAATGAATTTTTTATTTTAAGAAGAATGAATAAATCGATATCTGTACCCATTCCAAAGAAAGGTTACTCACCAAAATGCCCTCATTATAGAGAATATCACTGCTATCACAAGCAAGTAAATTTTTGCTGAAGATTATTCCACCAAGGTTGTAGCAGTACATTGACAAGGATCTGCCAGAAATAGAGTCAAATTTAGAAAAGGACAAGGAACAAGGGATATCATTGCTGATGTCACATAGTTCTAGGTTGAAATCAGAGCATATCAGAAAGATGAGTGCTGTGTTTCATTGATTATGCAAACGCATTTGCTTGTGTGGGCCATAACAAACAATGGACAGCCTGGAAAAGACTAGGAATTCCACACGTACACATATGGAACCTGTACACTAAACAAGAAGCAGTTATGAGAAGAGAACAAATCAAGGTGCGGGAAAGGAAGTGGCATTAACAAACCCAAGGACAAGGGAAAAATAAGTGATCCAAAATCAGTGGCGAGGAGGGTTTAAGAGGCCTGGCAGGGCTTGATCAAGAGCAATGTAACAGAAAGGAATTACTAAAACCTAAATGAAGGCTGAGCATAATAGTGGGACAGGAGAAAAGTAAAAGGAAATAGAGGAAAGAACTAGAAGGCAAAGGGCATTTATAGAGGTCTAAATATAGACATGTACATATGTAAATGCATTTATATATGATGATGGGGAAATAGATGTATGTGCATATATGTATAGGTTTAGTATTAAGGTAGCATATGGGCATGGGACCTCCACTCAAGTACTCCCTCAATGCAAGAACACTTTATTCTATTAATCTGGCATTCCATGATGCTCACCTTTCTAACATAATAACTGAAGACAAAGCCGATGCCTAAGAAAATGTGGTGAGGAAAGCTTCTGGTGTCCAGCTATCAAAAGATATAGCATCTTGGATCTTCAAAGCTTGAAGGTAAACAAGTGACCAACTAGCTGAGAAGCAACAAAACCCACATGGAAGAAGAACACCAGCCTGTGTGATCATAATGTGCTGATGGGATCAGGTATCAGGCATCAAAGAACAAAAAATCATATGATTGTGAATGAGGGGGAGGGTGAAGTGGGTTCCCAAAGCCCATCGGTAGGCAACTGGACAGCCCCTTAAAGATGGATGGGTCGTGGGGAGGAGATGAGGCAGTCAGGGTGCAGTGTGACAACGATGGAGCATACAACTTTCTTCTAGTTCTTAAATGCTTCCTCTCCCCCACTCTCATGATCCCAATTCTACCTTACAAATCTGGCTAGACCAGAGGATGTACACAGGTACAGATAGGAACTAGAAACACAGGGAATCCAGGATAGGTGAACCCTATAGGATCAGTGGTGACAGTGGTGGTACTGGGAAGGTGGGGTAGAAAGGGGAATCGATTACGAGGATCTGCATATAACCCCCTCCCTGTGGGACAGACAACAGGAAAGTGATGATGGGAGTTGTCAGACAGTGTAAGACATGACAAAATAATAACAATTTATAAAGCATCAAAGGTTCATGAGGGAGGAGGGAGCGGGGAGGGAGGGGGGAAATGAGGAGCTGATAACAAGGGTTTAAATAGAACTCAAATGTTTTGAGAATGATGATGGCAACAAATGTACAAATGTGCTTGACACAATGGATGGATGGATGGTTTGTGATAAGAGCTGTATGGGCCCCCAGTAAAATGATGTAAAAATTATGATCACAACATATGCACAAATGTGATTGATACAATTGATGGATGCATTGTTAAAAGAGCTGTGAGAGCCCTCAATAAAATTATATTAAAAAAAAGAAGAAGAAGAAAATACCATGGCTTAGGTCAAGCACATCTTAAACCTCAAAGTAAATTCCTGGCTTTTCAATACTCCAAAGAGGACAATGCTTCTTTTGATCTGTTAACTGCTGTTTCCATGAGAATTGATTGTGGATGCCAGTGAGGAAAAATCTTGACAACTCCACTTTTTCTCCATTTAGCATGTCGTTACAGCTTGTTCCTGT